TTTACCCATTTCCAGATGAAAGACTGGCTTACGTCCATATTTTGTGAAAAGTCTTCATGCCACTTCCATCTTTTGCTACAGCCTTTTGTATTATCACTTAGGCTTTAATATGCAATTGCCAAAGCCAGTAATTAACCAGTATAAATCTAGCATGCCATTAAGGCGGTATGTTCACTTATTTAGGCCTTACTTTTTGAGAAAGTAAAAATAACAACAGCAATCTTTTAAAAGTAAATTTCTGAACCCTTTTCTTGAGAAACTTCTTAAAAGAAAATAATGGTACTATTATACTCACAGCACTACTAAAACTTCTGGTCACCTGTTTTTGGTTTTTGAAAGCACCTAGCAATCGAGAAACCTGCAAGAATATAAAACAGAAAGATGCTATTTTACTACACAAATAGGATTTGAAAAAGTTAACAGTATTTCAGCAGATCTGCATTTTACAATCGTATGGCTTTAAATTCCCTATCTCGAACTAGAAAAATACCCAACTGAAACAAGAGCACCTCAGGCTTTGCCAAGTTGCTCTCTAACATTCTGTGCAGCATCGCCTCATGTGGGTATTCTTAGCATGAGGTAAAGCCAGGACACCCGGCTTTGAGCGCGCCGTACTCTCCTCTCTTGCCTTGGGGGCCAGGGGAAGTTACTGAGCAATAACTCCAGTCCTTACACAAGGGAAATAAGGTTGCAGTAACTCTAAATAAACAGATGATACACTAAGGATGAAGATTCGTGGAAAGCAAAGTGAAAAACCAAACACTGCCACTGTCGGTTGGGTGGACAGTAGCTTTACACATTTTAGGTGACGTTTCCAAAACTACTTTGCATCACTGTCGCTTCTTCCATTCAAACCGTGGTGAGTTTTATGCTTCCACCTTTTACCTCCATAGGTTTTTTACTGTTGCCTTCTCCGTGCCTGTCAGTTTTTTAAAAGCGTGACTAAAACGCACATTAAAGACAAAATTCACCATAGCAACGAGTCTACACAGCATAGTCAAAGAATTACACTTTCTAACATCTGAATATTCTGCACTGGCATACAGCTTCAAAACTGGGATGATAACTCAGCTTGAGCTCTTGCCTAGCTAGGCACCACGGACAAAATCCCCAATTTTACCAGTATCCATAACTTCTCTGCGGAAAAATCACAGCCTCCTGATCTTGCCCTCCTCTCTAGGATTTGTCATACCTCTGTGACTTAAGTCAGACGACACCTAAGTGTAAACAGACTCAGGGCACTTGAGATCCAGTGTGGCTGCAGCTGGCAGGTGAGGTAGGAACGTATTCAACAACCAGTATTCCTCTCCTGCCCAATTTCTATTTGTCATCTCCCATCTTTACTGACACCCATGCTTAAATGGAGCTGTGCGGCAAAAGGCACAAAGTCTGGTGGCACTACAACTCGAAACAATACAATCCTCCTCTATATTGTAACAAACGCTGCAGGAGAAACAATTTAAGCTAATTTATTTTTAGTTGTAACTCAACATGAGATCTTGAGTCACTGCAACAGGCGAGCAATGTTTGCCCTAGCCAGCCATATATTTGAGGCGGCAGCAGCTGGAGCAATTAAATGAAAAGGTTAATTAGGCTACACAAGTGTAAGCACCCTTCTGGTACGGTGCCTGCCCGTGGAGCCAGGATTCACATTCCGGAGTAGCCCTGGAAAGGGAACGGTCTGTCTTGCTAGATCACTTGAGATCCAGTGCAGCTGCAGCTGGCAGGTGAGGTAGGAACGTATTCAACAACCAGTATTCCTCTCCTGCCCAATTTCTATTTGTCATCTCCCATCTTCACTGACACCCATGCTTAAATGGAGCTGTATGGCAAAAGGGACAAATTCTGGTGGCACTACAACTAGAAACAATACAATCCTCCTCTATATTGTAACAAACGCTGCGGGAGAAACAATTTAAGCTAGAATTTATTTTTAGTTGTAACTCAACATGAGATCTTGAGTCACTGCAACAGGCGAGCAATGTTTGCCCTAGCCAGCCATATATTTGAGGCGGCAGCAGCTGGAGCAATTAAATGAAAAGGTTAATTAGGCTACACAAGTGTAAGCACCCTTTACTGACACCCATGCTTAAATGGAGCTGTGCGGCAAAAGGCACAAAGTCTGGTGGCACTACAACTCGAAACAATACAATCCTCCTCTATATTGTAACAAACGCTGCAGGAGAAACAATTTAAGCTAATTTATTTTTAGTTGTAACTCAACATGAGATCTTGAGTCACTGCAACAGGCGAGCAATGTTTGCCCTAGCCAGCCATATATTTGAGGCGGCAGCAGCTGGAGCAATTAAATGAAAAGGTTAATTAGGCTACACAAGTGTAAGCACCCTTCTGGTACGGTGCCTGCCCGTGGAGCCAGGATTCACATTCCGGAGTAGCCCTGGAAAGGGAACGGTCTGTCTTGCTAGAAATCGTGGGCCTGGCAGGTTATACTTCAGTTCGAGGTGGGTCACACCAGCACAGAATGAATCAGGCCGAGCAAAACCCATCCATTCTGACCTTAAAGCCTCGTGGTTACCTCTTGACATTTCTCCCGTGTTTCGGCAGACAGGAGAAGCGGGGCTTCCCGGGCGGCTCACCCTCCAGCCGGCTGGGATTTACAGCCACCTCACGGACCCCGGGCTAGAGCTGCCGCCGTTTCCCTGACGGCCCCGGGAATAACGGGTCCTTGTCAGACCGGTGCCGGGCAACCCCAGCGGGCAGGCGGCGGTGAAATCCACCGGGCAGAACCCGGCCATTCCTATCTTTTCCCCAGAAGACTCCGTCATCCCGGTACCGCCGGCTGCCGTCAGCGGTGACGTTTGTAGCCGTTACCGCCGGCACTGAGCGCCCGGTGAGCCCCGCCGGGGGAGGGGGGGGCAGCGGTAGGCGCACCCCGGGGCCCAGCCCTGCCCGCGGACGCCGTGACCTCTACGGCGAGGCCTCCGGGCCGGGCCGCGCCCAGAGGGATGGCACAGCACGGCACGGGATGGCGCGGCGTTCCCCGGGCCTCCCCGCGGGCTGGAGTAACGGCCCGCCGCGGTACCCTTCCCGAGGACCGGGTAGGGCTGGGCAGAGAGCCCGCCGCCGCCGGGCCGCCGCTCACCGCCATCCCTACACCCCTCAGCGGTGCTGCCAGGGCCCGGCGGCACCGCGACCTTGAAGGCGGGCGAGGCCGCCTGCGCGGCCAAGGTGAGAGGCGCGCCCCGAGCGGCCGCCGGCCTCCCCGCCCGCCGGCCGGAGGCGCGGGGCAGGAGCGTGTCCCCCCTGGCTTACCGTCGGCATCCACGCGGCCGCAGCCATGATGCCGCAGGCACCGCCACTCGCTCAGGCCCGAGAGCGCCCGCCTCCAGACCGGAACCGGCGCGCGGCGAGCAGCGTGTCCCGCCCACGCAGGCCCCGCCCCCGCGAGCGCCGCTGCGGCAGCGCTGAGGGGAGGGCGGCTGTGGCGGACCCTCCGCCCCCGACCGCCACCGCCACCACCCCGCCGCCGGGGATGCTCCCCTTCTCCCCGCCGCCCCGGCTCTGTGTGGCGGCGAGGGTTCCCCTCCTTCTCCTCGCTGCCCCGGCGGAGCCCGCCCTCCCCTCCTTCCCGCGCCGCGCTGAGGTACCGGCCCGCCCGCCACGGAAACCCGTCGCCCTTACCGGTGCGTGAGGTGCCGGGCTGGGCCCCGGGCGCTGCCGCTCGTTGCCACACGGGCTGCAGCGGTTTTCCGGGCGGCCGCCGGTTTTGAAGCATTCGCTGCTTTTTATTTTTTTAAAAACTCTCAGAGGTTAGAATTGGGCCGTTTGTAGGACAAAACCAGTTGAAGGGTGTTGGGTGGTTGTTGCAGCAGAGGTGAAAACGTGCACTTCCCGTGGTCAAAACCAGAAGAAGTTGAAACGGGGACAATTTAAAATGTGTATTTGCCTTCATTTTTATTTTTTTTCCCTTTTGGTACTTGTCTTTTAAAGCGTGGATGATGCCGTGGCCCAGTGGGGCTGTGCTGTGTGAGCCCCCCGGCTGCAGGGTGTCCCCTCCCCAGCGCAGGAGACAGGCACTCTGTGGTTATGGTAAACGAGAACTGAGACACCGACCTACAGCCCTTTAAAAATGCTTCTTCTCTGTGCTGAAGGGTGTTAAGGTAGATGGGGATGTACTTGAGGGTAAAGCACCAAGCTTAGAGCTAAGGCAGCTGGAGCTCACACCTCTGGGTATAACCGCTTCATCTGAGTTTTTTAAAACAAGGCTTTCCTGCCCGTGAAATGGGGATGGTTTTTCCCCCTTCTGTTTGATCTGCTCAGACAGGCAGTGATGCAGAGACCCTCTCCTACAGTGTGGGAGGCTCTGCTGTCTAAATAACAGTGTTGCCTTGGGTTGCAGTTCTGTTCGGCCCATTTATGCCCGGGGCCCAGCCCTGCCCGCGGACGCCGTGACCTCTACGGCGAGGCCTCCGGGCCGGGCCGCGCCCAGAGGGATGGCACAGCACGGCACGGGATGGCGCGGCGTTCCCCGGGCCTCCCCGCGGGCTGGAGTAACGGCCCGCCGCGGTACCCTTCCCGAGGACCGGGTAGGGCTGGGCAGAGAGCCCGCCGCCGCCGGGCCGCCGCTCACCGCCATCCCTACACCCCTCAGCGGTGCTGCCAGGGCCCGGCGGCACCGCGACCTTGAAGGCGGGCGAGGCCGCCTGCGCGGCCAAGGTGAGAGGCGCGCCCCGAGCGGCCGCCGGCCTCCCCGCCCGCCGGCCGGAGGCGCGGGGCAGGAGCGTGTCCCCCCTGGCTTACCGTCGGCATCCACGCGGCCGCAGCCATGATGCCGCAGGCACCGCCGCTCGCTCAGGCCCGAGAGCGCCCGCCTCCAGACCGGAACCGGCGCGCGGCGAGCAGCGTGTCCCGCCCACGCAGGCCCCGCCCCCGCGAGCGCCGCTGCGGCAGCGCTGAGGGGAGGGCGGCTGTGGCGGACCCTCCGCCCCGACCGCCACCACCCCGCCCCGCCACCGGGGATACTCCCCTTCTCCCCGCCGCCCCGGCTCTGTGTGGCGGTGAGGGTTCCCCTCCTTCTCCTCGCTGCCCCGGCGGAGCCCGCCCTCCCTCCTTCCCGCGCCGCGCTGAGGTACCGGCCCGCCCGCCACGGAAACCCGTCGCCCTTACCGGTGCGTGAGGTGCCGGGCTGGGCCCCGGGCGCTGCCGCTCGTTGCCACACGGGCTGCAGCGGTTTTTCGGGCGGCCGCCGGTTTTGAAGCATTCGCTGCTTTTTATTTTTTTAAAAACTCTCAGAGGTTAGAATTGGGCCGTTTGTAGGACAAAACCAGTTGAAGGGTGTTGGGTGGTTGTTGCAGCAGAGGTGAAAACGTGCACTTCCCGTGGTCAAAACCAGAAGAAGTTGAAACGGGGACAATTTAAAATGTGTATTTGCCTTCATTTTTATTTTTTTTCCCTTTTGGTACTTGTCTTTTAAAGCGTGGATGATGCCGTGGCCCAGTGGGGCTGTGCTGTGTGAGCCCCCCGGCTGCAGGGTGTCCCCTCCCCAGCGCAGGAGACAGGCACTCTGTGGTTATGGTAAACGAGAACTGAGACACCGACCTACAGCCCTTTAAAAATGCTTCTTCTCTGTGCTGAAGGGTGTTAAGGTAGATGGAGAACTGAGACACCGAGCTTAAAAACCCACCTAAAGCCCTTTAAAAAAGGCTTATTCTCTGTGCTGAAGGGTGTTAAGGTAGATGGGGATGTCCTTGAGGGTAAAGCAGCAAGCGTAGAGCTAAGGCAGCTGGAGCTCACACCTCTGGGTATAACCGCTTCATCTGAGTTTTTTAAAACAAGGCTTTCCTGCCCGTGAAATGGGGATGGTTTTTCCCCCTTCTGTTTGATCTGCTCAGACAGGCAGTGATGCAGAGACCCTCTCCTACAGTGTGGGAGGCTCTGCTGTCTAAATAACAGTGTTGCCTTGGGTTGCAGTTCTGTTCGGCCCATTTATGTCAACTCTTTTGCAGTCAATTCCAAAAAATTAGTTATAGGAATAAACAGGACTCTCAGCTTTGATTCAAAATCAAGACCGAATTTGTAAACTCGGTAGTTGTAAAGAGTGATATAATATCGCAGTCTAATAGGTGCTGAAAATTTAAACTCGGAAGACAATTTAAAAAAAACAAAACTACCTTTGGTTTCTTAGTCCTTTTTGGCAATGTAAAGATCTCATCATCATTTGGTGCCAGTTTTTGGTGATGGAGTTATTGAGATACTTGTAGCCTTTCCATTTACTTACTTCTCTCCTGTGTGTGCCAGAAAAGCCAGGAGTAAGACTGTGGTTTGCTCTTCGTCTTGAAAGCGTGAGGAAGTAGAAATCCTTAGAATTGCACAGCATTGGTAGCTTCTATTTTCTGGGTGTCGCTTGCTCTTCCCCCCCATGAAGGACTCTCACAGTTTTTGAAACAGCTTACTGTGTGTACTTTTTATTTTATTTTTGATAAGGCTTTGAATTGAAAATAATCGCTCAGATGTTATCTGTAATGGCAAGTGTGCAGAATTCTCATGATAACTGATTTTTTACTGGTAACTACTGCTGGTTTTTCATTTTAGTCTTTTAAATCTAAATTAGCCCTGCAGATATTTAAAAATTACTGTAAAGTAATTTTTTTTTGGTTCTAAGCTTGGGCATACTTTGCACATATTGGCTCTTTTGTTGTGCCATCTTTACTTTCCTCAGCTTACATGTCCTATTCACTGCTTTTTTTCCCTCCCCTTTTGTAAATTGAGGCTAGCTCCCACCTGAGGTTGACCCATGATGTTTCTAGGACATACCAGCTGAATTTTAAGTGTTTTTACTGTACTGCTTCCATTGTAAAGTATATATCTGTTCTACTCCTTTCTTTATATTTGTTGTTTCTTTCACCATGATGCTTACCTATGGATTCCGTAAATATTAAGTTGATCATGTGCTGATCAGTGTATTCACGTTGTTTGCTTGTGTTTTCTGACTGTCTCTGCAAGTACTTTGTGGGTTTACACTCTGATAGAAATTGAGGGGAGGGGAGAAATTGGCGAGAAATTCTTTTTTACATATTTTTTCAACAGCTATTTGAACAGGTTTCTCTTATAGGTGCTACTGTAATAATACTACAATAATAAGCCATTAACAGTGGCTGTTTTGGATCTGTTCTGAGAAGGGCTAAACAACATGGTAATAAAATCATCAGTAGTTATTTTGCCTAGAAGAAAGATGCCTATATAGAACTAGAACTAGCAGTAATCTCTGTATTGAGACTTACTGTGAGGAAATTAATGATATTAAATGTAATTTTCGTAAGAAACCATTAGTTTTCTTATTATTATTTTATCCCTGAGGCAAAGCATTGTCTTGTGTAAAGCACCTTTAAAAAAACATGTCATTTTTACTTGATTTATTATGGATAAATTAGGCTTAATGAAATGCAGTCGGAAGCCTCTGTCTTCCAAGATAGTGTATTTTATTAAAATACATAGATAAGATCATAAACCCAACAAATTTGGCACAAGGTTTTCCTTTCTGTTTGTTTTCTTTAGCATTAAAAGCTCTCTACAGAAATTTCTCAGTCATTGTAATAAGAGCACTTAGCCAGTTAGTCAACATCTTGCATGGGTTTGAGGGCTGTGAGTTTTGCATCTTTCTCAAGTTGTGTTTGTTCACCCATCAAACAGGGCTCAGTCCCATGACTCACCCTCTTACAGGCTAGCACTTCCACACAAATTCAGTGGGGTCTAACCATCCGGTCGGTTGTGTGTTGGAAAAGCTACTTTTCATTCTACCATCGTTTTCACTTATTTTAGAAAGGATTTGTATTTTGTAACTGTGTATTTACAGCTCATTTTTTATTTATAGTTTGCAGTAACTATTAAATAAGGGGCAAGTTGCCACAGTGAAGCATATTACGATGGTAATGTTTTGTAGGGATTTTAATTTTAAGGGATTCACAAGCATTTTAACTGTTCGATCTCCATAGAACCGGTTGCAGGTGAACATTATTATTCCTCATTTACCTCTGAGCAAAGAGAATTGTGAATAGTGTTCAAAGTAAATAAAACAAGCCCCAAAGACTTGGGGTGAATTTCAGTAGCATCAGTGGAGGATAGAACTTTTCCCTTGTAATTGTTGGGAGTAGTGATCGTTGTTACTTACGCTTGAGTAGAAGGACTTAGAACACTAAGTTTCCATGCAACTTGGTGCAGAAAAACTAGCAACAGAATAAATGTAAAGGCAGCCCTTTAGGACCAAAACTTCTTTTTGCTAATAGGGTAACTGCATCTTGATGAAGAGCTAACTTGTGTGAGAGGGAAATTGTTGGAGTATTTGGTGTAATGGGTGTGAAATCTTGCAGGTTCTTTTTTCCCCAATTAATAGGATAACTTCTGATTATGTCTGTATATGAAAACTCAGAGTTGTAGCAAACCAACTTGAGCAGTGAAGACAGTAGATATGTAACTTGATTGTAACAACTCCGTGTGGATCCTCTTGTTAACATGTAACGTGGTCTCCGTTCAGAGTATCGTGATCTTCCTTTTGAGGAATAAGAGCTTTCATACTTAAACCACAGTCAGATTCTCACTGCATAATTTACAGAGGCAGTTTAAGGTAGTACGGCCTCTCTTGTTGGAGGTTATTAAACTTTACACCTCTACTAATAAGCCAGAGCAAAGTTGCCTGATGTAGCAGCCATGGCTAGCTGGAGATGGGCTGAGGGCCACCAGGAGTGATGATTTGTCCCTGAGGTCTGGCTGTGGAAGCGCGTCCCTGCTGCTACGCTCAGATTGCAGCCTTAGCTGGGTGTTAAGCTGTTGCAGCTGACAGTCGTCTTGCTATAAGATATTAAATCTGGTGTACATGCTGCATAGTGTATTTTCTGCTCCATGAATTAAACTTTTAAAGCAGGTGAACTGGCTACTTAACCATGTTCTCTGATATAATGGCCAGTATAATGGCAAGACTGTTATATATATATATAGCTGTAGTACTAAGTAAAATTTATTGGCAACTGATTGCAAGATGTTTGCTACATGTTGCTAAATAGCTTAAAATCACTTCCTTTGGCAAACAGTTTAGAGAAATTAAAATACAGTGAAGCATGATGAAAGGCTTGTGCTGATAATTCTAAGGTCAGATCTTGCTGTGTACATAGAAAAGTATTGATTTGTTGCAGAAACTTATGCTGGGAGTAAATATTGCTTAATACTTAACTGGCAAATTAAACTAATCTGTGATAAATACAAACAGAAGAAGTGGAAAAGAGCAAACTGGAAAATTATGTGATCTTTGATACACACGAACAAATAGGAAGAGGGGAAAAGAGTTTGCGTGTTATACCATCTTTCAATTTTACCCAGTTAGTACAACAAGATAATGACGTAGTGAAATATAGGTACCACTCTAGCACGCTTGAGAAGAGCTAGTTAGTATAGTGGAACCCTGAACATTCAGTGTTTGAACAGTCTTTTTAGAAATCTGTGCATTTTAGTTTTATTTACTAATCAAAAATACTCTTCAGAGTATGGAAAGAAGAATTGAAGAAACAGTTTATTGTCTGTCCATATACTCAGCAGGTGCTGTTCCCTTGATAAGCTGAGTCTTTCTTTTAAAGCAATCAATTTTTAACATACTACTTTTCCTGCAGAATTTCTCTACATCAGCGTGAACCCAAAGCTTTTCTAATAGGCAAGAGAAAAGTGGAGGGGGCAGAGTGGAAAGCCAGGCCTGAAAGCATAAACAGGAACGTGTCTGTGAACCTCAGGAACTCAACCTCTCGTCGGCTTTGTAACCACAAGTAAGTCTTATCTGGTTGGTGCTTTTGTTTTAGACCTCCTGCTTTCTATTATCATTTTGATTCAAAGGTAGAAACTAGCTGATATGTGTGTGTCATCTCAGATGCAGCGGGACCAGATACCCGGGAATATAAAAGCAGGTGAAAAATGAAGAAATGAGATATCAGTCTTTTTGCTGTAAGATTACTATTAACTATACAGAATCATAAGACTAAAAGACGTGGAGCCCAATCCCCCCCTGGTGTTAATTCACTTCTGTATAATGACATTAAAGATAATTTGGCCGTTTATCTTTAATCTGATTTGCATAAACAGGCAGCAGGCATTAAGTGGCTGTGAAAGGAGTGCTATTTCATGCAAATCACTTGGCTGTGTGTTGGTCTGCTCTGAGTGAGAAGAGCTGCTGGCTCTTGCATTTCGGTAGCGCTGCATCATAACTCGAAACGTGCTTAATTATATGCATAACCACTAAAGCCAGTGATGAAGGTCCTTCAGAGTTGAGTATGTATAAAACCTTTCAGAACTGTGAAAATTCTTAATCCCAAGGGCCTCTTACAGATTGTTGTTTTCTGATTCAAAAAAGTGTGTTAAAAGAGTACTTTTAATAAGTAGAAAAACCTGTCTTTTGCAGGTTTGGAGTTGTTTTCTTCTTTACATTCTGACTTGCTTGTGGAGAATCTTCTTGCACATGACAAGAATCCAATGCCACTGTGCCCTGGGGAAAAAAGAAAAACCCACAGCACTAGCAGGTAGAAAAATAGAGGTCAGTTCGGTCGTATAGCAAACAGTCAATTCAGCTGTCTGATACTCAAATAGATCCTTGCTGTGCTCTTGATTGGATGATAGGGCAGCCAGAGTTTGTATTCTTACTATTGTAGCTTCTTTCTTCTTATTCTGAAACTGTGCTGCAATATGTTCTCTTGGTAGAATCCATTCCTTTCACTGTTAAAATTCTGATGTTTGCCGTGTTGAATGCATTCTAATCTCAAGCCATTTATTTGGTATATATGGTAATAGCTTGTGGTTTTGCAGCACAGGGCAGTGCTGGTTTGCAGTTCATCAAATCTGCATTTCTAAACATTAGAATCTAAATAAACTGTCTTTCAGAACAGTCTGTGGTTCAGCACTTCATAGAATGTTTTTACTACATATTCAACACCAATGCTGTTACCAGGTCAGGACCATTAGAAGCTGTAGGAAAAAGATGATGATAATTCTCCAGGTGTTTTCATTAAACATGCTAACTTGCTGAGGAAACAATGACTATTGGCAGAGCTGTAGATAAAGAAGGTAGGGTTTTTTTTTTAATATTTACAAACCCTTTCCCATTCTGTGTGCACAAACGGGAAGTGAACAATCTAAAGAAACTTTTACTCTTTACAGGTCTTTCCTCCCTTTTCCCATCCTTTCTCACTCATCCTTCCTGCTGTTGTTATAAGAGCTTAACCTTTTGCAGATGTTAGATAATATAATTTTGTTTTAGTTTATTTTTCTTTGTCTGCCTGCTTCTCTTATTGAATTGTTCTTTTATTTGTTTTATTTTTAAAATTTTCACAGGAATAGGGTTGTATTACTTTAAAATACACTGTGAGCCCTCTAGTGGTACTTTCTCCCTTTGCTTTAGGCTGTGGTAACATTTTTTTTCTTTCCAGCTGTGCTTACTTGAGCTGAAGGAGTCAGATTAACGTCTGATTAAATTACTTTAATCGGATTACTTTTTTATTTATTTTATTTAATGTGAGAAGGAATACTTCCGCTCAGTGGTGTACCTGGGAGTTTGACACCTCTGGTAGTGAGTTCACACCCTTGCTGGCCAGGGCTGGTTATAGCCACAGTGTAGACATAAGCAGTTACTGGGGAGCCCCTGCAGCCCCTGGTGATGTTGTGGGGATGCTCTGCACGCTTTGAGCCTCCATCCAGCTGTGTCTGACATTGGCAGCGTGCTATGGGTCAGAGCCCAGCACTGACTAGGATGTCCTTTTATCTGTGGGAAAACCATCTGCAGAAACGTTTGCTAATCCATTTTCCTAGTACCTAGATTTGCTCTGTGTGTGTGTGTGTGTGTGTGTGTGCAATACGACTGCGCTACCCAGCGCCATCGGGTGACGCAGAGCTGCTCTAAACCATGAAGGTGCCGAGCCCTGAAGTCGCAGAGTGAGCGAGGCACCGAGGCAATAGAGAGCTGGTTTCTTCTAGCACTGGCTGCTGGGGCTTTTATGTTGTAAAAGCTCTGCATGCCTCTTAGAAAAACATCTGGAAAAGGGGGAGAATGGCATCACTGTTTCTGGGCGACACCTGCCTGTGATTTTAACGCTTTCCTTCCCGGCACGCTCAAGTCAAGCAAAGATTTCCCAGTACTGCGTCCTTCCTCATTGGACAGGTACAGTCAGAGCCAGTTCAATGCAGGCTTTGGGATTTTTTCAGCACGCTCACGAATTATATGTGCTCTAAATGCCTACAATACGGAGGAATCCAGCTACTTCTAATGGGATGCATTTGCATAGAGGAAGAATTCCTCATTTAAGATGGGTAATAAGCAAACGATATTTACTGATGAACAGCTAGATGCCTACCAGGTAAGATATCTTAGTTTGCATGAGGGGAAGGAGAGGCATAATGTTAATATGTTTTGGGGGGTGTGCGTGTTGTTGTTTTGGGTTGTTTTTTTTCCAAATATAAACTAAAACTTCATTTGTAGCCTGCATCATACATTCTACTGTTCCTTCCCAGCAATTGTAATACTATTTTAAGGATGGGATGCTGAACATACTCAGTTTAATTCCCTTTTCTGTATACAAGGGAAGGAGTCGAATCCTCAGTGTCTGGACTAGGAAGTAAGATAAGACTGTGATTAGCTTGACAATGGGAGTTCTTAGTAGAATCTTCCTATTGAGTGTTCTGTAAAGAAAGTGTAGCAATAACCTCTTTTTCTCTCCCAGATGCATTTGTTGTCGATAGAGGGGAGAAGGGAAAAAATACAGAAAGGTCTTTCCTAATTTCTCTTCTGCTAAGGATAAGGCATAGAAATATGCCTCATGTAGTTCCAGAATAGGTATTCTTATGTTTGCACCCACTCCTGGATGGCAGTTTCTTACCTTAACAGAAGAAGTGTGTATTCTGTGTCCAGAGATAGTTTATTGGTACTTCTTTATTTACTCCCCATTGCATCAACTGAATTTTTAATAGGGTAAAAAAAAAAAATTTCTCAGTTTTCACTCATGTTTCAGCACACTGCGAATCTTACTGAAATTAAAGAAGCTCCATTTTCATTTATAGAATCATAGAATTATTTAGGTTCTGCACAGTGGGCATCTTGAACAAGTTTCTGAAAATACAGTGAGACAGTATATCCCATAGAAGTGTGCTGAAGGAGGAGGCAGCTGACTACTTATTACGAGATGCAGGTAGGGCTGGCTGCATTGCTCTCTTCTCTTATATGAAGCAATAAGCATAGATTTAACAGTGCAGGAAATCAGCATTTAGCTTGTCTCAGGATAACCAAGGAACAGATCTAGTGCACACAAAAGCAAATAACTTTCTTTTTACCTTCAGGATCTTTGGCTCAAGTTCTTGAAGTAGAAACCATTATTTTAAATTCTAATTTTCTTTGGAGTTACTGCGAACATGGACTTTTCATGGTGTAGATATTTAGCCACAGAGAGTCAGGCTAGGTATATATGCTAAAATGCTTTAAAATTTTATCCTGTGCTGAAAATAGGGTGTAAATTAAATGATGTTATTAAATTTCTAACCTTCTTGTTGTTGTAGACTTCATGATCGTAAAGGTCTTTTCCAACTTAAACAATTCTATGACTCTATAAATGTGAAAATGGAGCTTCTTTAATTTCCACTTTTGTCACACATCTGACCCTCACCAGCCGTCTGTCACTGTAGTACATTAGTCTAATGAGTAAGACTGAGTAGTCTGAGATCCAAAAAGGCTTTTTTACATCCCTGCTGAAAGGGAAAGAGGGAAATCAAGGATCTGCAAAACAGCAATGTCTGTCTTCCTGCTAACAATAAAAGTGAACACAGAACAGAGCCCAACTGCAGTGAAACAAAACAAAATCCAAATGTAATTAATGTTATCTTCTTGACATAAACTGGCAAATGCAAGAGCTGAAATGTCATCCCTAATTCACTACTCTTCATGCAGAAATTGCCTTTCCCTAATGGCTTTTGCAGCCCCTGCCTTGCATAATGCTGGGTAATTGCTCTCAGAGCCTGGCAGTAGTTAGGCCCAGTGGATTCAGGCAGCCTGTGGGATTTCTCTGTTACAGGCAGACTTGCAGTTCATTACTATAGTGCTAAATCATTTTGGACTAGTAATAGCACATGTTATATATGGTAAGTGCAGTAAAATAACAAGTTTCAGGACAATAACTAATCTCCAGAATTTGTTAGGAAGGAACATTAGCCTCGTGCTGTGAACAATCAGGTAAAGTCCTTGTTTTGCTGGTGATGTGCCTCTGCTCCATTAATTACTGCAGACCTCTTCGATCTTTTATACCTAGAAATCCTGGGGTTACTCCTGTACCGTCCGCACAGAGAGCTCTTGCCTCTCCACTGCGTTCTGGGGGAGTATGCAGTTGCTATAATACAAGCAGAGCTGTTTGACTTGGAGTTTGCCACCTTATTTGCCTTTTTCTCATGTGTGGAGTTCCTTCAGAGCAGAAAATGAGAGAATGGGGTAATGGTTCCAGAAGTTTTAAAACGCAGGTTTTTCATTTCTTGAAATGGCAGTTGGGTCAGCAGGTTCCTCTGAACACCGGACCAAAGTATAACCCTCTGCACCTGGGGCCACTTTGCAAGAGTCTCTTGTGCACATCTGTCACCTGATGTACAGCCAGGCATCTACATATAAATAGCTTTGAAAGTGGATCATTGATTAAGCCTTTTTTCTTCTTTTGTTTGTTTGTTCTTTTGGGGTTTTTTTTCCCCCAAATAAGAACTAGGCAACTTATAGTGAATTTATATGTCTGTGGGTTGGTACTGTGCTCCTTACAGCAGTCCTCAGGGTTACAGAGTCCGTAGTAGCAGTTTAGCAGAAGCAAAAGCATCAACTTAATCCTTTTTGTAAGATAAACTTTTTTTTTTTTAAATTCTCCACAGTTCTTCTTAGAAGACCGTTCAAAACCTCGCTTCCCTCATGCTTAGACTTATAATTTCTTTATTTGAGTATATTTCTGGCCATTGTATTATCTGGTTGTAACTTCCACCGTTTTTGTGGAATTGTGTGCTGGAAAGAACACAAAATGCCCCGAGTTTATACCACCTGAAGGCTACTTCAGTAGTGAATTCTCTTTTCTTAATGCTTTTTTTTTCTTTTTTTTTTTTTTGCCCAAGTGCTTGTTTCACAGGAGACACTTCTGATAGGTAAAAGGGAGATGGAAAAGTGAGAAGTTAATGTGCTTAAAGTATGGTAAAACCATAAGTAACTGGTTTTAGTTTTCTGGATTAAAGATTAAGCTGCAGAAAAATCACCTGCTTGAAGGGCTAGCACACATACATCCATCTCAGATTGTTAATGTGATATCAATGAAATTAAATAAACTTATTTAATTTGTATGAATCTTTCTGAAATGCTCATATATAAACTTTTTTTTTGCATATAAATTGCCATATTGAAGAATCACTTTTTATCACACTTTTACATTTAAATGAAATAATTGTAAATCTGGTCATGCACAAGATGACCTCAATGGTTTTAATATATGAGTGTTTTAAATAATCTTCCTGAAAACTGATGATGGGTGGGCAGTG